GTGTGTGTGTGTGTGTGTGTGTGTGTGTGTGTGTCTCCCTTGTATGAAGGAAATAAAAAATATATTAAAAAAAATAAAGAAAAAGAAAACAAGAACAGATTTAATAGATAATGTGTATCTTATTTATTTTTCCTTCCTGAATACATGGAAGCTATACTTTTCAGTCTCGTGGCGGTGAGGCTAAACGTAAGTATGAGCATAAGTAATGTCGGTCACTTCTTGGCCAAAGCAGATAAAAGCACTGCCCGCAGGTCCTCTCATTTCCCTCTTGCCCAGTGATCTTAGAAATCATGAACAGAAACGGTGGCATTAAACTGAAGAGGGGTCAACAGGTGGCACAGTGGTTAAGCCACTGGACCCCCACATGGCTGACCACAGCTTGAGTCCCAAACCTGGAGGCTTGAAAATCACGCTGGGCCCATGTGCGTGCATGCCCATAACACCAGGAGGAGAATGGAGAAGAGAATGCAGCACAGCCATCCTCCCTGGGGGACGATTTCTCATCTTTCTGTCTCTCTTAGGTGAGCACAAGTGCTCTATGGCAAGAGAGCCTGGACCTGTGTTACCAAACAAAACAAAGCTCCTACAAATCCACTTTGAAAGTCTGTTAACCTGAAAACCCTGGTAGATTAAGCCTCTGAGATCTGGGGGTTTATATGTAACTATAGCACATGCAGATATTAATAGCAAATTAGTCTTTTTTAAAGTTCTCTACTCTGGAAACTTCAAAAAACTATGATGCCAAATATATCACTCACTTTAAAGGTAAGGGCTAACTTTAAATAAGTAAACATAAATCATAAAAGTATATGATATATATATATTTATATATATATACACACACATATGTGTAGATATGTGAATAAAAGAAACTCTTGATAACAAAAACATTAAACTTACAGTGTGAGCACATTTCCAAAGGGTAACTTGCCTCATTTCCCTGGGGGGGAGAAGAAAAGAAACAATTGATCACAAAATTGAAATTAATTTCTTTAAAATATTAAGCTTAACTATTTGGAATCGAAATAATATATGGAAATAAACCATAAACTAAAATGTCTACATCCACAAATGACATTTCCATTTTTAAAAACTGGTTTTAGAAAAAAGTAAGTTACACAATATGAAATTATAGAATAAGCATTCTTGAGTTAAAATGGCCTGAATTGTGGTTTGGCCACTGAAGACTTACACAAACATTTAACTAAAATATATTTTAAATATTTTAATTACTTAAACATGTAGTATACCAAATTTTAAAAAAGAATTACTTGTTTAATTTTATTTCTTGCTATGATTATTTTTAATTTGACCAGAGACGCAGAGAGTGAGCGAGAGAGAGGGAAATCAAGAAAGCAAGCCACCAGTCTAAGACTGAATTTTGGTTGACAAGGTCAGAGTCCAGTGCCTGAACCACCATGCCACCTGGCAGCCCCTGTATACCAAATTTTAAAAAAGAATTACTTGTTTAATTTTATTTCTTGCTATGATTATTTTTAATTTGACCAGAGACGCAGAGAGTGAGCGAGAGAGAGGGAAATCAAGAAAGCAAGCCACCAGTCTAAGACTGAATTTTGGTTGACAAGGTCAGAGTCCAGTGCCTGAACCACCATGCCACCTGGCAGCCCCTGTATACCAAATTTTAACACCCAGGAGAATGTCAGTGCTTTAACCTGTCTTTCTGGGTAAACTCATTTCAGGGAAGAGCTTAGCATAAAGCTTTTCCTGTCATCTCTATTTAATTGAAAAGATGCCAAGTGAGCTCTGAAAAAGAAAGCAAAAACAAATTACCAGGTCAGCAGATGGCATGACGGTTAAGGCATTGGACTCCCACATGGATGACCATGGTTCAAGTCCCAGACCTGTCAGCTTGCTTTCTCATGCTCAATCTCTCATTCTCTCTCT